CAAATTTAGCTCTTAAATTGACGTTTCTATTACTGACACCAAAATAGGTATGTTGCTAGGCAACATATTTAGTTCCTAGGAGCTAAAGTTGAATTCTAGTTCCTAGGAGCTAAAGTTGAACTTTAGCTCCTAGGAACTAAAAAGAATATACTGAACGTCATCAAGAATAAACAACATTGTGACGGTTGGTTATTTGGGTTGAGACGCATACCTGATTTGTTTCCGATTTCAGCAGATTTGGCATTTCATACCCATGCTGGAGATATAAATACACCTTATCATAGTTTAGTATTGGAATAATAAATATCTCAGGTAAGTTTTTTTTGTTTTGATCAGGGAAGTCTTCAAGATTCAAATACTTGCTTGATCTGTATTTCATTCGTTATTCTCGGGATGAATAACTTGTTTTTGAATATTCACGGCAAGCAATAGTTTTTTTGTCTCAAACAACGATATTCTTTAGCTTCATTTGATAATCAAGCCAAACACAGTGTAGTATGGAGAGGAATAAATAATCACTATTATCATTGTTGATATGCTCACTAACCTAACATTCTCCACGTCTTATTGTTAATATAGCTGGCACTGGCGCGGTATTTGCCATTAGAGCACCTGGTCCATACACAAATATCTCACTCTGTGGTTGTATTTATATTGAAACTACAATTCGAACATTCTAGAAAACCTAACCTGCTGTTAATGGAGGTAGAATATTCTCACCACATGGATTATTTGTCAATATTTGTTGCATTGCATAGATATGGCACGGCAGTGGTGGTTACTTCACATGTTTATTTGAGTTAATTGTTTCGGTTGCAGAAAAAATAGAATGTTTCATTCGGATCAAAAGTGACATTGTTCGACTCGCAAATTTTGCTTTCGCTCGGCTTCGCTAAACGCTCCGCCTCGCAAATGCAAAATTCGCTTGTCAAACAAAGTGTCACTTTTGATCCTAATGAAACAATCTACTATTTTCTCCAAGCATTATAGAAAGTGGCTTTCCTCTTAAACTGAACAGGCAGAAAAGGTGTACTTCTTCTGCCTAGATAGAAAAAGTTTGTTGCTATGCAACATTCCAAGTAATTTTAATGGAATTAGTAATCAAAATTGACACTGACAGGGATTTGGTAAGGTTTTCTAAGACTTAGGTTTTGTAAGCGTTTATCAGTCTGGGTGAAAATTAGACAATTTATGAGTTAATCCAAAAGATAAGGTAGACACACTTGAATAGTCTGAAATATACGAAATTAGTTGTAATGCTTGTGATTGAACATAACTATAGGGCAAACCAGGTGACCAATACAAACAACGTTGAAAGAACACCTAGCACATTCGAAATATGGTGGGTTAGATAAATCGTGGTAGCCGAACACATGTTCAATCACAATTATAACACACATATTAAAAACCTCAAATGAGCTGTGCAAGTTAATAATATTAAGAAATTAGATGCATATGAAAGCCTAGAGATATTTAAGGAGAGTGATAGAGTAATGAATAAAGATAATGGACCTATTCCATAGAGCCCTCTGGATAGTTGTGAAATAAAGATTAAGGTTAGTGTCTTTCACGGTTGGGTGGACATATACCTAGTATATGAGTAGCACAATAGAATAGAATTTAGTTTTAATCTTCTCCCGAAGATGCTATAATAGTTAAAGAAACACGTGTCGAGGCGTATAAAAAATCGGTTTGGTTAGTGGTGAAACAGTGTAGTGCCATAATTAGCAGATGAATCTCGCAATTAGACTAATATTGCAATAATAGTTTTTGACGTAAAAAATGTTTTGTGAGGTCTAGAAGATATTTTCCTCTTTTATGAGTATGCTATAATTGTTTTGCTTGTCTTCAACCAACCAACCTACTACTCCTGATAATTTTCCTTCATGACCTGGTTATCACATTTCAAACATCATCATCATTTATTAGTCTATTAGCTCTGGACAGCTTCTATTGCGGGTATTTCAACGTATTCATTAGACAAGCCTTAGTTTCCAGAGTTCTGAAGGTGTGATATTCGAAGTTGACAGGGGTGTTGGATTGAATATTTGTAAACATTTTTCAATATTTCATACTCTCCCATCACTTCCGGTTTCAAATGGGACACCCTGTATTGTATTCCATGAGTTAGGGATTATCGTAAAAAATTCAGAGATATCGGGTTCGATAGGGGTATTTTGAACGATTACGAAGATATTTGCGTTTGAAGTTTCCATAAGCTCAATGGGTGTGACGGCAGAATATCGAAACTTCTTCCTTTATCACACTCATTACAGACAATACAGGGTCTCCCAATCGAAAATCAGAAGTTGGGGTCGTTTCCGGTGAAACTGTAAGTGATGGGAAAGTATGGAATATTGCGAAGTTTTCCAATTAATTCTCGAATCCTACCTTCGGAACTCTGGAAACCATGTTTTGTCTGAAAAATTCCTTGATATACGGTATAGTAAATGTTTGCAATTTGAGACTGATTAAGACTCAATTACTCAAATGTGTGAGATCTTAGGTGATACCCACTAGATAACACAGAAACGTCCCGAAAATGTCCTCAAACCGTACACCTCGGACATTGGAAACGTCTCCAGAACGTCCATTTCAGGTACGGCGTACGTTTTCAGGACGTTTTGGGAACATACGATGTTACACAACCAGAGGTCCCCAGGAAGTACGATCAAGGTCCTGTTCAGGTCTGAACAGGACCATATTGTTGATGTTATTTGTATATTCATGATGGAAAAATGAATCACCATAACAGAATATACAGAGTGAAAGATAGTCAAACGTTTATTAGGTATAAATTATCTGAGCACGAAGTTTTAAATCCTTTGCTGTTCAAACTTCAAATCAGCCGAGTTGATTCAAAATTCACCCTTCACACATCAGGTTTTGACTCACATTTCATGAAATTCGCCGCAAAGCTTTTATAGCAGAACGATATCCATATCGCTCTTACCTCGACCCGGTTTAATGGCGAAATATGAGCCGCAGCCAGTTAATTGTTAAAAACTGCGGAGTTTCACGAGTGCTTCTGAAGTACCCAACCCATGTGACGAGGGACAAAGGAAAATCCCTTTTCACTTGTTGAAGCGCAAGAATAGTTCAACAAGACAGGTAACTGAACAAATGAACAATTAGCGAGCAGCGAAGCGTTCTGGAAGGTAGTTTTGATTGTCGGGGTTTGTGAAACCCAAGAAATATATACAGTGTGTATATAGGGATGATACGGAAGCGTAGAAATTCCAAATTTCATCTCGCGAATTGTATTTCCAATTTTCTTTTATGTCAAAATACCTTTAGGGTATCTCGAAATTTCTACTTTCATCTCAAATTTGCTATTTGATCCCGAAATATTTCACTTTGTTGTCGAAATTCTCGATTTTTTCTTAAAATTTTGAATTTAATGTCGATATTTCGAACTTTTTTCGAAATATTGACTTCCATCTTAAAATTTCAACTCATATCTCCAAATGTCTACTTTCATTTAAAAACTGTGACTTTTATGTCTATTGTTCTACCAAAATTTTGAATTTTATCTCGAAATTTCTTTTGTTCTCTCCACATTTTGACTTTTATTTCGGGATTTCTACTTTTATCTCGAAATTTCGACTTATATCTCGAAATGTGTAATGTTAATTCTCTCAAAATATTGACTCTTATCTCTAAATTTCTACCATTCTCTCAAAATTTCGACTTTAATCTCGGAATCTCGTATTTCATCCCGAAATGTTGATTGTTTTCTCAAAATTTTGACTCTTATCTCGAAAGGACCTCGCACATTTAGTACGGAAAATGGCTTTCGGCTAATTTATCTGAAAATTTGATATGTTTCAGATATTAGCGTCCTTATTACAGAGTCTAATTAACAGATCGATTCTTCGACCAGATTTCGAGCTACAGGGTGTCAATTATCTGATTTTGGCTGTTTAGAATATTTTGCATCGATTTGAATTATGTGCACTAAGTCGTGATTAATCTTTAGTAGAAATAAACGCTCCACGTCTAAGTTCTACCTCATGAATCCCTCCATTCGAATACAGAGTATTGCATCCATCATGACAAGGTGAAATTCATGGGCATAGACAAATATTGAAAATATCAGTATTTCGATGTTTACTCAATCACTGAAAACTTGAAAACAAACGGCTAGAATCGGCCAATTATTTGACACACTATGGATCTTGATCATCAACATGAGGATTCATATGATTTCCTCTGATACAATGTCCGGTTTGCCATATATATGGTGATGCCAATTTGAAAGCTTACAATTATTGATGTAACTCATGTACAAACTGAGATACATATCACGAATGGTTCATAACTGTTTATACAATAGATAAACTGGAAAATAAAATGTCTCATGAAATACCCCCACCAATCCCCTGACTCACAACCACCCCAACACATATCATTTCAATAGTAGCCCCTACTTGTGATACCTCATTGAATAGTTCGGTGAACATGCATTCCAGTGGTATAATCCATATCTCGGACTGAGCTAAAATCTCATATTTTTCCCGTGTATGATGCACTATTTTTTTCTGTGACAGAAGAAAGGACGAATCAATATTGAGAAGATATTACATCATTTTGAAATCTGAAAATTATCGACGTGAAATTTGAAGTTTTTAACAGGAGGGACACCTGCGTTGTAGGCATCATCTTTATCATTCTTCTGAAGTAATCAATAATCGGATGTCACTTCTGTCAGTCTGATTCTGTGATATGATTTTAAAAAATTGCGAATTTAGTGGTTGTTTAGTAATTCACGTAACCGCGAAGTCGAATGGAAGATGAAAGGACTTGCAGTTCTTTCTCGGAGAGGGTATATTATTGACTTATTTTTCGGAACTATAGCATATAACAAAAGCCATCAACAGTGTATGTAAAGAGTAATTTATGAAAAGTGACATTTCATAACCTGTCAACAGAGATGAAATGCCAATTTTTTTCCGTCACAGAAAAAAAACCGTTTTTCTGAAATGAAAGTGTGGTCTAACCTTGTGGTAGGAAGCCAGCTTCGATCAGCTTGGCCTCCATGAGCAGTTTGGGGATGAGCAAGCAGAACGATATCGCGATATGTATGAAGGGGGCGGTCGGTCCCCCGTATCTGAACAAGCCGCACCCCCCGCTCTTGAGCAACTCGGGGGGCTCCTTGCTGCAAGTGCCCATCTGCCTGCCCAATTTGAAGCCGTCATTCGCCAAGTTGCCAACCTAAAAGAAAAAACAACGAGAAATTATCGATGCTGTGGCGTAGCTAGGTAACCAAGGGCCCAGGGGCATGAAATGGGGCCCCACTGCTATCTAGACTGGTTAGGTTTCATCAAGTGAAAATCAAAAATATACAAATACTTTGAAACTGCTGAGCTACTTTATTATCAGCTTTTTCCGTACACTGCATTGTTAAACAATCATATTAACAATCTTTTCCTATCTTGTTTTCGCAAAAGCATCAATGACTTCTGTTAATTCTAAGCTTGATGCGGCTTTGTTTTCAATTGCTATTAGCGATAAATGTCGGAGTCGACTTTGGCCCATACTATTTCTTAAATATTTTTGTTATTATTTTTAATTTGCTGGACGACCTTTCAGCTGCTGCAGAAGTGACAGGAATTATGAAGAATAATAACATTGCTGTTTCCGTTAGATCGTATTCTAGCACTCCATATTTGCGTCTCATATATCCGTCAAATTGACAATACTGCTAACCCACAGAAAGAATTTAAGGGGATTCCCTATCCCTATAGGTAAATCAACTTTCGAATTCTTCTCTACTGAGCTTCCATCATTAAAGTCGGGTTGCAACCTGTCATATTTATTTTGAAAATAGGAGAAAATTTCGAATTTTCAAAAGTTCAGTTCGATCGATATGTTCTGGTGAGGATTCTCGAGGAGGGCCTCCTGAGCTTGAGGGTCCCAGGTAGCTGCGCCACTGTATTGATGTGTTTTTTATATATCTCCGAATTCAGACTTTTTTCACACGAGAGCTTTTTCTTGTCGAAGCGAACTTCACTTTTCAATGAGAATTGTGTTGCCTAAAAATTTTACGAAAAAAATTGCCTTCGAAATAAATACCTGAGAGTCCGTAGGACGATTATTCTCTTGTCAGTTTCTTGAGTTGAATATCCTAAAGGCAACAAAACTCGAATTATGAATTTCAAGTTCACTTCGACTACAAGAAAAAGGTCTAGTGTAGTTCGGTAAGACAATCTGGTGAATACGTAAATCACACTATTTTTTATACTTTTTCCAATTTCTCCACTCGAAGACTCTCCAAATTGCATTATTTCCACAGATTAGATACTTTTCTAACAACGCAAGATTGAGAAAAATAGACATTAAAGCCATCAAGATTCGTTCACATTTCTGGTTGTCATGGATTCACAAGTTAGGTTCCGTTTCGTCATATTTAATACCACAAGTGATACTATTTTTCCAGATATATTCGGCGATTGTCACGACAACTTGTTACCTGATAATTTTGCGAATGGCATTGTTTATCAAAACTTTCGAGTCGTAGGCGAGAAGTTTTTATCAATGTTATGGGCGAAATTGAAGCAGCAAGCTGGAGTATGTCAATCGACGGATATTTCCAAGAAACATACACGAGTTGTATTTGTATGAATATTTCATGATTGAGACAATAAACGAGCGCCTCGCAAGAGTTGCGCACACTACATCCATCATTCTGGCTTCCAAAATGATGTTTTAAATGTCGAAAATTTCATCGCTGAAAATCGAGGGTGGTTGGTCACGTGTGGGTCAATTCGGCTTCTGTAGTCGCTGGATAACTTAGCCCTAGGGTTTTATGAACTATTGAGGTAATGACTCTTTCTCTTTGTGACCATTACATTCCACTTTGAGTATTTGGCTTCTTTCTTGTTGAAGATACGCCAGTCGGGCAACCAGCCACTCCCATTTTATCTGAAATGTGATCTTGTTTTGGAGTGCTTCTATCCTTGCCTCGGCGTTCGCGTTCATTTTGCGGACGTTGAACGCCTCGTGGTATATAAATGCAAAGCGGTCAATAATGCTATCTGGGACAGCCCTGCACTGATGAGAGCCAACAGCAGGAAATCGGTCTGCAGGTAATCACGCGTTCCTGAACCACTTAGGCGCAGCTCGGCATTTAAGAAGATAACACTTTCAATTTTATTGGTCTTTACGAACTATAACATAGATTCGGGAGAATGTTGCACCATGTATAGGAAACGAAGCGTATTTCTCGAGGTCCTCCTTCATTTTTTATGCATAGGAATCGCGCTTATGATTTTCTGGCTTGTATTTTTGGAACACCCTGTATACACCTATCAAAAAGTCTGAATTCAGATGACAGTGGCCTTCTTACGCTTTCGTGAAAGTAATTGTGAAAGTGAACGCTCTGCAAAGTAATTTTTTTCAGTTCAGAATCAAAAGTAACAAATCACTGATTTTTCAGATATTTTGCAATGTATGCTGTTAGCAAACAGCAAATTATCGAATGGAGTTATCCTGTTTTATGATTGTTTATTCTTGAAAAGGTACTATATGATGGAACGTTATATATGCAGATTCCATTGTAAATACTGCTCTGAATAGGGGTTCTACCGTACATACATTATCGGGTCTCTCGCGTAGTTAGAAGATTCAACGGCATTATTATGTCTAATCAGATGAGAGCTGAATATATCTTCCGAACTGCGGTTTCTGAATGGAAGTTTGAAGTTGGCACAGCTGCTGGTATTATATTGTTTATACGAACTTCCCGATTGATTTTCAGCCTTTGTTACCTCCAGGGCCTGTCAGTCGACCGATTTTTTCAGACCAGTGAACATGATATGTTTTTCGTAACTAAGAACTGTTGTGAGGTGCAACATTTTTTGAAAACGATAGGATATTTCAGTTTCGAGACTATAGTATCGGAGCCTAAGACTAGGTTTTTCACAACTACTTGTAGACGTCCGATTCTAAAAACTATCACTTGATAAACCATTCGACATCCTGCTAGATATATAAAATTTCACTAGAAGAATACACCAAGGTGGTGGAACTCATGCAATAGGAGTATGTGAAGGAAAGTAGTCAGGCCGCAATCAAGGCATAGGATACAGAAGGTTGAACAAGTATGAGTGAATATGAGAGAATGTTGAGAACTACAATAATCCTATATTACGTTGAAAAAAATTTGATACGTAGACAACAATGACGGTTTGGAAGACAAACCATATAATATGTAAAAAGTTTACCTGTTGATTTCAGGCATGAATGTGAAGACAATATAAGCTAGTTGCTGATACCATCAGCTATGAGTCAGTGGCTTTCAAATTCTTCAGGGTTGCTGAGAGAGTAATCCTGAAATTGAGGTATGGACAATGGGCAGTACTTGGAATTTATATCCTCCGAGGATCGAGTAGTTCAAGAATTTGATAACAAAGGAAGAGTAATCTCTGGTAGAAGTCCATCGTTTCTCAAAGTGGAGGAAGTACAGTGATTGATACTGAATAATACACAAAGTCATCTCCACGACAATTTATTGTGGAAACTCACGGGTTCATTGTGAATAATCACATCAAGGGAAACACGTTTTCGGACATACGTATCTCCATCATCAGCCTAATAAGAAATTACAGTAATGAAGGTGAAAGGAATTTTTTCATCTCATAACCATAGGGAATTAGATGGTTAACTGTTTTCCTAGGGGAATAACCATGAAAAAACCCCATAGATGGGCATTATGGTGGATAGTAAGAAACTGAAGGCCGCCTAACATTTGGGGCACTTCCATGAGCAAGTTGATGGAACACTGATGAATGATTCAGATTCATCAGTGTCCCTTCAACTTACTCATGGAAGTGCCCCAAATGTTAGGGGGCTCTTAAGTTTTTTTTTACTACCCATCATAATGTCCATCTATGGGGGTTTTTCATGGTTACCTCCCTAGGAAAACAATCAACCATTCAAGTTCTATGTATTTTCAATCCTCTATGGTTATTAGATAAAATAATTTCTTTTACCTTCATGACTATGTAATTTCTTATTAGGCTGATGATGGACATACGTATGTCCGAAAACATGCTCCCTTGATGTGATTATTCACAATGAACCCGTGAGTTTCCACAATAAATTGTCGTGGAGATGAATTTGTGTATTATTCAGGTTCCATGTCTGACACCAGCATTGGCCTGGCCGATTCACGATTTCTATAAGAACTGTAGAATGTAGATTACGACTGTGTCGCCATTGATAGCTTAGGTTATTTTCAAAGTTAGTGGGCCTATTCGGCCCTCTAGTGAGATCCGTAAGAGTCTATTGTGGTTCACACAAAATCATATTTCACCAAGTAGATCCAGCTTCTCAATTAAGCCTATTAGTTTACTTAGGTGACAGGTAGCCGTGCGGACAGAATGTCAATATTCTAATCCGCATTCGCTTGTCGGTCGTGGGTTCGATTCCCAGCGACTACAGAAATTTTTCTGATGGCCCAAGAAAGTGTTTGGGATCACACGTCAAAAGGTAAGGCCCCCGTCATTCCTTGCTCGCACAAGACTCTCGAAGACTTCTGAGGGTTGCTCGTAAGGGGGCAACCGAATGACGGATAGAACAATTTTAGAACAATCCTCCAGGTCCGAGGGCTAGAATGTTACCGTGCCAAACAGCGAAAACAAAGTATATGCTCTGCTCTTTCATCATCTTCAAGACAGACGACACGCCTTTACATATGATTATTCAGACGACACTGACCTGAAGAGCGTAGGTCATCCCTGTTTGTTGACATTCTGCGAAGGATGTATGCATGAATGCCTCAGAATTAATGAGCCAATCCCCAATCTTGATAGATTTTGCTATTGAAATTCGACTGTGCGGTTTCAATAACCTTCGTGAACGTTTTCAATGGCACATTCGGCACGTTTAGCTCGTCTTTCGCGGCTTTTCACATAAGCATTCCGCGGCAATCGATTGGTCGGAAAAGGCACGTTCCACGACCGAAGGTGTATCCATTGTACGTACATAATTGAACAGGATCCTTCCCCACATGTCAGCTATGATGTCGCTGGATGGAACGTGCATTATTCAGTGAGATGCATGTATATGGGAGCTGGAGATGAATATGGATGTCGGATGCCGCGGCAGCAGATGTGCATTGTTTCAGGCTCCAGACAGTCCAGACCGTATTGTTTGGTTCTGGGTGGTGACTGGAGACTGGAGAGTCACTCTACAACCTCTCTGTTCTCTGAATGATAAAGTCGTATTGTGAATACAGAGGAATTTGATCCGGTGTGAAGATAGAACCCGAAACTCCGCGGCCACAATCACGAAAATACCCGATTGACCATGGGCGTACGTCAAAAGAGAACAATTTGTGTGAAGTTAGCACCCAAAATTTGGCGGCCAAAACTGCAGGACACCCGAATGTGAAAAAAAACTGGAATGAAATATCAACTATTGCATTTCATGACATGATACTACAGGCAGAATCTTTTCGAGAAGAAACTACCCTCTGAAACACTTTAATTCTCAAATGACTAAGAAGGACACGATATGTCAACTTATTATTGGTCGAAAAATATCAGGAATGATTTAATTCATTACATACTAATAGTAGAAGATCCGAACCTAAGTCGACCTTCACCGAGCTGATAATAGAACGAAATATATTTTATCATGAATTTAGTATATTAGAAAACATATTAAAAATGGGTTGCCTAAAAAAATCCTGGGCAGACTATTTTTAATTATTTTTCGAAAAATTATTTTTAATTAAATGTTGCAACATCAGGATAATAAAAAAATTGTGTCCTGACTGAAAGTATGAAACGTATAGAATGTGCAGCCGTTGGGGTGTCTACTATTTACCTGGGCGAACTACTGGGTTGTCAGGTAAACACAGGTATATCGATGCCAGTTACTTTCACTGGATTGGATAATTTAAAAAAATGTATATCATCATAAGCGCTGTTTAATTGCGAACACGTTGATATAGGGTTGTCTGCGAAAATTCCGGTCCGATTAGGGGTTTTTAATTTCAACGCGCGTGGAAGTGTGTGACAGAGAGATCCGAGGTAAGTATACTGTGTGATAATAAAGGACCCAACATCGCAGTCGCTTGTGATGGGATGACAGCATCAAACGTTGGGATCTACTGTCAAAATTCACTGGCGAATCGGACACCACTCTAAAAAAACGAAATCCGACTAGATGGTCCAGTAGAGTCAATACGATATCTGCGATAAAACTTCGTTATTTTGATATTATAAAAGCATTATCAGAAATAGTTCTAAAGAGTCCTAAAAAAAAAGAATGTGGTGAAGCAGAGAGTATTAAAACAAAAATGCTAAATTTCGAGTTCGTGTTGCTTTGCGAATTCATGCACAGTGTATTGAACGACATCAATTATGCATCCAAAACTTTACAAAAATGCGACATCAATTTGGGCGAGGCGAGTAAAGTTTTAGCAGAGACCAAAGCAAAATTGCAAATTTATAGAAATGATTTCGAATTATTCAAGTGTAAAGCCAGTGAAACTGCATCAAAATATGGTATTGAAACCCATTTTCAAGAAAAAAGGCAAAGAAAAATTGAAAAACATTTTGATGAATTAGCTGCTGATCACCGATTTCCAAACCGAGAAACAATATTCAAAATTGAGATTTTCAATAATGTACTAGACACAGTAATATCTCAATTAGATACGCGTTTCATTGGTATGAGTGCAGTCTGTCATATATTCGATTTTCTAACACCAACATTTTTATTACATGTTGATGAAGGAACTTTATTACAAAAGTGTGACGAATTCCAAAGAAAATATTCAGAAATAATAGGCCCTAGTTTTTCACTTCAATTTATTAATATTTACCACCTAGTTTTACCTCAACTAACACAATCATGGACTGTTCTCCAATTATGTAAGGAAATAATGAGCAAATATGGAGTGCTAGAATGCGACCTAACGGAAGTATTTACAGCAATGCTATTATTCTTTACAATTCCTGTCACTTCTGCAGCAGCTGAAAGGTCATTCAGCAAATTAAAAATAATAAAAAATTATTTGAGAAATAATATTGGCCAAACCCGACTCCGACATTTATCGCTAATAGCAATTGAAAACAACACCGCCTCAAGCCTGGATTTGAACGAAGTCATTGATAGTTTTGCGAAAACTAAATCTAGGAAAAAAATATAATTGTTATTTAGTCTGTTGGTAGGCCCGACCTTTATATAATAAACCTTTGAATATTTCGTTGTATTATTAGCCAAACGTACACCAAGTATTAAGTGTAATTTATGTTGTTACTGTTTAATATTTTTATTACCTGCCCTGCAGTGCACAAAAAGGAGCATAAGTAGCTTAGCATTTTCAAAGTTTTTGTATATCTCATATTTTCATTTGATGAAACCTAATCAGTTTACATAGCAGTGGGCCCCATTTTTTAATCTGCCCCAGGGCCCTTGGTTACCTAGCTACGCCACTGCTGATGCCTCTTGATACATAGTACATGTATGCCAATTTTCATCAGAATATCTGAAGTGGTATTACAGATATTGATAAAAGACTATTAATTTTTGAGAACTTTATCACCCTGTATCTCAAAAGTTGGGACGTTTAGGTCATACGTTCATATGAAACTTTCTTCTTAGAATGGACCCAAGAATCGCCTCCCCAAATATTGACATTCAATTATGAAACATCATGTATAGGAGTATTAAGAAAGGTTGGCATTTGGCAACATTGGCAGCTACGGAGAATTGCGGTTGTTTCACTGTGACGTGCGATAGCCTCAACAGTATCTTGCGATGTTGCTATCCAAATATCCATATTATATGTAACGATTCGATAAACCAGTCCCAGAATTTATATGATTTCATACAAAGTGTAAGGTATGTATTAGGGATATGGAAATCACTTCTTGTTCTCGTATTATGTTCGTGAAGGGATTGGTTCTTTGTAAAAGAATTTCTATTTCTGTGAACATAAACTTAGAGTTCCAGAATCAAAAGTTCAACTAGTGGTGAAAAGACTTGATAGTTTCCAGTTACATTGATATTGGGGAAGGTAACATTGACAAATAGGGATTATGATGAAATCTAAATTCTCTATTCTGAATAATGTGAACCCAATTATGTACTCACCTTCAGGGTGGCCACAGTTATGAAAATGGGCAACAGCAAGAAAGCCGCCCCTGTCAGTCCTAAGCTACAGTTGAGTTCCAGATAGGGTAAGCCGTCTGGCCACGTCAGCAAAGAGTAACCTGGAAGAGACAGCTCGTTTTAATATTTGAATGGAATCCAAGGGAATACAATTCATCCAACATGATACACTAAAAGCTCGCGATTACGCGTGAATCGCCTCCAAAGTTGCAGTGGAGTTAGTGCCAAAACATCGGAGATAAAAAATTATTGCAGAATATGGTTGGTTATCAACGTGTATAATTATTCTGAATTTCATTCTAAGTTTCATTTCAATTTCATTGCTATATACATTCTTCTAGAAAATATTCTTTCAGTTGACACTTTTATTATTTTATTTTTTGATAGAGAAATTGATTTTTAATGCACGGAGTAAAAGGAATCGTTGAAACTTCTTTTCAGTTGGACTGACCATAAAAGCGTGTTTTCTTGAACGACTATTTATTTTCTACTTCTTTTCAGTTCGGTAATCTATTTCTTCAGTTTTCTAAACTACTATTCAGTTTTCACTTCTTTTTAGTTTGGCTATCTATAAAAGCGTGTTTCATTAGTTTTTCGAAACACTACTTATTACAGAGCTCGTTCGACATATTAAATCTTGAATTTTCTAATTATGACGAAATCATCATAATCTCTAACCCCGAAAACCGTCAAATACAAGTTTTGAATAGGATGGTGTCATAGTTAGAAAATTCGTTCACCATATTGGATTGGATAATTATGGAAGTCTTCCGCCATATTGGATCCGTCATCTTGAATTTTCAAATTTTGAGGAAAGAATCATAATATCCGACCCCAAAAACTCCCAGATACCAATTGTGAATAGTATCGGAATATAATTACAAAACTCGAGGGTATCGAATTTTATGTCAATTTTGTTTTCATAAATAATAATTTGTTTGTTGAGGTATTTTCTTGAAGCCTGTATTGGCACATGAATAATGAGTAAATTGTGAAGTGTGGCATAATTTTAATGAATATGATTTATCTAGCAGCATAAAATAGTGATTTTTTGTAAACTTTCCTGAACTACGAGATTGAAAACGTTTTAGGTTTGCAGGAAGCAGATTGTATAGTCTGTAAACTGAAGGACCTCCTGAAAACTGTAGGTAGTTCTAATTGGTCTAGTAAATGTCTGATAATTATTGTGTTAATAATTCATAAATATTTTTTCGAAGCGGCTCAAGCGTTTTCAAGATAATGATGAAAAACTTTTTTTTTTTCAACTTGAACACGAAGCATTTCGGACCCATGTTCGTATGAACTCTTCTTCATATTTTGTTGAGAGAAATTTTCTTTAGGCTTTTGTCAGCACAACTCTGAAACACCCTGCAAATATGTAGAGATAGAGATTTGTTTTGCCCATGTTTTCTACCAGAAACAGTTTCAATGATGAGTTTGTCAGTCTGTATAAGTTCGTATTTCCAATCGATTAAACAATGTCAGCTCTCCAAATCCATCATGAAGTTGCTTGAATTCGAATGTTTCCCAAGAAATTAGAGTGACAGCGCACAAGCATAATGGCAAAGTGATATTTCGTATTCGTATGGAAGTTGCCACATCTGTAATGTTCACAATCAAATGAAGTGGAAACCAACTTTGCCTGAGTATTGATTCGTGCGGCATTGGCGTAACATCACACAAAGAAGTTTTGTTGTTTGGCAACGAAGTCTTCTGGAATCAGCATAACAAACAAAAACAATAGGCGAGAACACAATAGCACGAATTCAGTTCAAATGTGCATAATAAATAAATATAACATTGAAATAATGTGTACCCGTAGTTTTTTCAACAATAAATGCTGTCATTATCCAAAGAACGCGTTTTCAAAACCATACAAATTTGTGGACCATTCAAAAAACCAATAATGGCGGATACGTGATGACGTAACAAGTATTGGCGTGCATTTGGCAACGCTGTACTGTACCTTCAAAATATTCTAACATATTTCCTAACCTAAGAAACCGAACTCCTAAACATCAAAACATCAGAGTTTTTCTGTGATTTTTCATTTGCTTAATATTTTCTTGTGTAATCAAAATATTCAAATCATTGTGACTATTATTGTGACATAGTCTGATGGTTCATGTTTATTGATTGGAGATATGAAGCCAGTATTCGAAAAAGCAATCACAATCTTCCAGTTGTTGATTCAACTATGGTTTTTGAATTCTGCAAGTTCAAATAACTGGCATGAACTGTTTCATAAAGGTGAAGATTAGTCCAGAACATAAAGTTCGTCCTACACCATAAAGGGTTGAGGCTGAGATTCATGTAGCTGAAGAAACTGTAGTCTGGATTGTGCAGTTTCAAAAGGTAAAAGGTACATAAATTCTTGACTTTTTTATAAACTGTATTCTTTTATATTCTTAGGTAGATGTAAACACAGTGTAGCTTTCTTATTATGGTTACATGGAAGATCAGAAGAACCCTCTGTACCTTCTATGGAGTGTTACTGAAAAGTGTCCAACTCAGTGTCCAAACTACCAAATTTTTGAGCTTCCTATCAACATTCATGCCACTTGTAGAATTAGCACCAAAAGAAGTTCCTACCTTCCCAGTGGTTCCATCAAAATTTCTTGAAGAAGTTTTTCAATTAGATAGAAAACATGGATGCCAAGGATAAATGTTTTTGAAAGAGTTCGATTCTGATTCATAAGCTAATTATTTTGTCCAGAAAACATTCATCCAATTTGTCTCCTGGGAATTTCCAAGACTTCATTCATCAGAATATCAGTGACAGTGATTGTGAATTGGTGCAAGATATAAAAGTGAATCAAAACAAATCATCACTATCAGCATGGTTTGAAGTTTGCTATGGAAGAATTACTGCTTCAAAGCTATGAGGCACAAAGTGCAAGACATTCGAAGGTACATTAGATGAGCATTGAGAATAATGGTAGTTTTCAGTTACTTGAAGTGTCATATGACCCTATATACCTTTAGAAAATTATAAAAAATGCTGAAAATTTTTGGCAAATTGTTATTTTCACCCATTTAATAAAATTATAAAATATCAGTACTCTTTTTCTTCTCTTATTTCAAAATTGGACTTATTTAAGCTCACCAGTGTCTTATAAATAACATATTTCATCATCTTCAAAATCCTTTCTCATATTGATCATACACTATACCTTCACAAACTGGAGATGGTAGGTATATGAAATTCATGTTTACTTCTTGTCGAACAACCTAGTTCATTCATATTTTATTGTCAGTGGAATATTGGTAAGAAACACCAATACCTATCATTACACCAAAAAAGTAATGAAAGTAGTAAGAAAAAAATCCAGTAAGTATAAACCAAGAAAGCACTGGCATATCTAGAAATGATGGAAGATGCAACATCAATTCTCAATGCGAAAAACAAAATCATACAAGCCAAAATTACTAGATAGGTATTGTCACTATTTCATGTGGGGAAAATTTGTCAAAAATGTAAACAAATAGGTAGTACACAGAAATTATCAAATGCCCCCATCTTCAAAATGAAGCAAGAATGCTCAAGAATGTTGGTGCAAATTTTCATTTATTGTCCACTTTATGCAGTAGATATAATTAGAACAGTTAAATATCAATAGACCTCCTAATAGACATATTTCATTTCTAGAATGAATATAGATGCAGAACATGGAAATATTATATCAATATCTTGTCCAGATCATCACAAAGTTTGCAAGAAAACAAATAAACTTAATCATGATGGTAAAAATCACAAACATATTTGTATATCAATCAGCAACAGTCCTGAGTCATTTTGGGACTGTCAATTTGGTTCTGGTTCATAGTATTTGATGTCAGTCTCTTCCATGCCAGGCTCCTTTTCAGGTTCTTCAAGAAACCTTTCTTCAACTAAAACACTCACTGGTACTTCCAAGAATTTTCCTCAAGGAAAGTCAATATGATTTGAGGGAAGTTCCATTTTATCTCATCTCCCAAAATCTCAAGGGATTATTGAGATCTCCTTTTCCATGCTGAAGATGAAAGTTAGGATTTTGATGGGTGTTTTCTCAGTTTTGGACGTTTAATGAATATGGAATCACATCTTCAGGCATATAAACTCTAGATCCAATGAGTTTTAATTCCACCCAGTTCAACATGTCATATTCAAGCTAAGACAAAATGAGTATGATCAATCCATATTGAAGAAAAAATTCTACTCACATCAAAGCGATCCTCACAGCAAAATATATCATTTGATTCCAGGTATGGTTTATCCATATACTTTGTTCAGTGTTGATTAAGCAGGATGGAACCAAGTTTGTGGCATTTCCTTACAGCCACTGCCATCCCAGAAATGTGAATCAACGTTGATGAGAAAAAATAAATAATTCGATGGCAGGAATAAAAATAATATTGGCCGACAAAAACAAATAAACAATAAAATAAAATAACAACTGACAGTAGTGACAGATGAACGAATCGTCAACTGTCTACACAGTCAACAGTCCAGAAGATATCAAGCGACGTTGCCGGATCACCGTCTAATACTTGTCACGTCACATTAACGCGCGATATTCCAACTCGTTTGAACGGGATCAATACTTTGCAATTTTTTTGTGGAAAAACTACTTCGAATAAAAATCTGAAAAAAATACCTGAGACTTTTATCGTCATACTAAAGGCCATGGTATTTTTTCCAGAAATTCGTGTTCTCGCCTATTGGATGAGTGGAATACATCGTCAAACTCTCCCACGAACAAATCATTTGATGTCATCATCAGAAAAAACTAACAATAGGTCACTCGAAGGATCTGTGCCCAGTTGTTTTGCTATACAAGTCACTATAAGCATCCTAGATCTACTTTTTTATCAGTTCTTTGTTGAAATTTCAACTTGAAATTTGAACTCTCCAGTCTATCAGGCACTTCGATCGAAGTTCAGTATCCTATTAAGGGTGCAGGGATGTCGAGTCTAATTTTGTAATAGAACATCATTGTCACTTTCCCATTTCTAACACAGTCATAATAGTATATTATTCAAGGAGCGCATAATGATGGCTATCACCCACGAAGATGAAAGTTGCAGTACGAGCCGAAGGCGAGTGTCGTCATCATCTGAG